AAACTGAAAACTCAAGTAGCAACATTGTAAAGCATGTTTTTAGGGTATGCAGATATGCCAAAGGAATCAACTGAACAACTAGCACTTGATTATGAAGAGGATTTGATTAGGAGTAGGAAGTATATGGAATATCTTTCTTTTTATGTCCAGGGCAGACATTACTAATCAACCACAGAGCTCCTATCTAATGTGCCAGCACTGGGCCTCAGAACTGCAACATGATCACTATACGGAGCTACCTTTCAGTGAATGGACTGATGCTTGAGATGAAACTTATTTGCCTTGCTTAGACTATAGAATCCTTATGATTCCTCTCATTTCTTCCATTGTATGATTATGTAAAATAAGGACCCATTGAATGTCTTGAGCAGATGAGTGATATCTGAATGTGTTGCTTAAGAATATGAATTTGGTAGCAAAATAGAGGCAGGATTGGCAAACAAGTAACTAGACCTATAGAAAATAGCTGGGGCAACTGTAGTCATGCAGGTAATGTAGAATGAGTAACGAGAGACATTTCTGAGATTCATCAATAGGGTCTAATGATGCCATCTTCTCCATAGGAATAAAGTAGCCATATTCATAGTCTTATCCTAACTACAAAGTTTTCTTCAGTCTTTCAAAAATCTTATGTTCAAAGAAAGGAAAGTAACATTTACTGAGCACCTTTTTGGTACACACACTTTGTAATCATTCATTCCTTGTATTGCTCCTAGTTCAAAGGTTTAGAAACAGCTAACAGAGAATAGATTTAAATGGATCTCACATCTACACCTAACTCTGCCTGACTCAAGGGTGAAGCTGTCCTCAGTAAAGTAAGTTGTCACAATTATCTTGGACATTGAAAATCAGTCATGAAGAGAGAAAAATACAGAACAACTTTTAAATCAGAGTGAAGAGAGATAAAATCTCTAGAAAACTACAAGTAAAGAAAAATTGTAGCATACATAAAGTGTCATATTTACTTGGTTAGAGAATTTTGTTGTCACGATCTTGAATATGATCTTATGTTTAGAAAGAAAATAACCTTACAGACTCATCATATTCTGATTCTTGATTAGGATCAAGGAGGTCAGAGCAAAATTCCAGGAGTCACTGTATTATTTCTTTTCAATGCCAGATGGATGTCAATAAGAGCCATGTTAAAAGCAGAGGTGTGCTGCGATGTGTGATATTATTACACGAGAGAATGATGTGTTCACTTAAGGAATCCTCCAGACTCTAGTCTCTAGTCAAACCACATGGTCATTAAAAGTTCTGATGGTTTTGCCTAACCCCAGCAAGGTCTCTCTGCCTATGGCAGGCATCGTCTACCTACCAGTGCCTACACTTGGCAAATGCCCCCGAGAGAGAGAAGGCCACCCGTCGCTGCTCACTAGGAAGTGATTATGCCTTTGTGGAATTTACTTCCCACAACTCTCATATGTCTTTTTACAATATATGATTTTTATTTTATCCATTTTTTTTCTGACTGTTATGGCAGGAACCATGGTGCACCACAACATTTTATATTTTAACTAGAAGTGAAACTAGCAGAATTACATTTTATATTATATTTACATGTTCCTTCTATGGTATTTAGCTTAAATTGTTTTGGGTAAACCTAAGTCTGTTCAGTGTGTGTTATCTTTTGGACTCAAAAGATAACTGCGTTTTTTATCAATGTATATATAACCATTTTTGAGGTCACTAAGAAGTATTAATCTATGCGCCAAATTATCTTACTGTCTTTATTTAGGTTACCTTACTCTCCAATTTTAAGGAGAATGCTTTGCTGATTTAGCATTAGAAACATATTTAACAGATTAAATTTATTTATTACTGGAATCACCAAAACTGGTTATTAAAGACAAAATTTCTCTTAATTCTTCCATTCTATGGTTATGTAAAATAAAGATCCATTGAATGTTTGAGCAAGTGATATAAGAATGTGTCACTTAAGAATATGAATTTTGGTAGGAAAATAGAGGAGGGATTGGACATACAAGAAACTGGACCTATGGAAAATAGCTGGGACAGTTGCAGTATCCTATTGTTTAAAGAAATCTTACCGAATAGTTATTTTGTCAGTAAACAGGAATTACTTTATCAATACAAGCAATACTTCCTGGTTTTAAGTGTTTCCTACTCATCATATCTAGGTTTCCATCAATACTTTGAACAGATATATCTGGTATTTATTATAAATCTCACTATGACTAAGGTGGGGTGGCCACAGTTTGTTTTGCCCAAAGTTCCAACTTAATATCCTAATGTGCTATGATTTGGGCTAAGATGGAGTAGCATGAAATAAACCAATGCTTCTAACAACAGTAACTTAGGAAATTGAATGAAAAATGTTTTGAGTCGAACTCGGAAGCTCAGCCTGTAATCCCAGCAATTTGGGAGGACAAGGCGAGTGGATTGCCCGAGTCCAAGGGTTCGTGACCAGCCTGGGCAACTTGGCGAGACCTTGTCTCTACAATAAAAAAAAAAAAATTAGCCAGGCGTGGTAGTGCATGCCAGTAGTTCTGGCTACTTGGAAGGCTGAAGTGGAAGGATCGCTGGAGCCCAGCAGGTCAATGCTGGGGTGGCCATGAGTATGCCACTGCACTCCAGCTTGGGCAACAGTGAGAGGCTCCAACTAAAAAAATATATATATAAATGTAAATAAATAAATAAACATATATACATATATGGAGCCATAAGAGTTGCAAAGGTAAAAAGGTTCTAGCATTGTCTGGAAATAGTAAAAGTAATACTTTATACTGGACTCTAGTAAGTCAAGGATGACTGTTGTAATCTGTAGGGTAACCACCCAAAGAATAGAAATAGACTGTGAAACAAACTAATACATATCTAAAACAGAGAAAACAACAAAAATAAAACTTTGATTAATCCAAAAGAAGGAAATAGAAGAGAGAAAAGGGAACATAAAACAGAACAACAACAAAAAAGCAATGTAATATTATATATAAATAAGGTCAAGTATATCTACAATTATATTAAATATTAATTTTTGGTCTAAATACAAGAACTAAAAGACAGAACTTATCAGACTAGATTTTGAAAAGTATATGATATGTGTGTGAGACACACCTAAACAAAGACACAGAAAGAGTGAAATCAAATGGTTGGGAAAGGAAATACCATGCAAAATCTAGCTCTCCAAAAGCTAGTGTGACTGATATTACTGTACTAGTATCAAGCAAAATAAACTTTTAAGGCAAAATGCATTACTAGGGTTAAAGAGATTTCAGAGTGATAAAAATAAATCTACTTGCTGGAACTGCACTGAAACTATGACAAGTAGGCCGGGTGTGGTGGCTTAAGCCTGTAAATCTCAGCACTTTGGGAGGCCAAGGTGAGGGGACTGCCTGAGCCCACAGGTTCGAGAACAGCCTGGGCAACTTGGCGAGACCTCATCTTTACAATAAATCAAAAAATTAGCTGGGTGTGGTAGTGTGTGCCTGTAGTTCCGGCTACTTGGAAGGCTGAGGCAGAAGGATTGCCTGAGCCCAACGGGTCGAGGTTGGGGTGGCCATGAGCATGCCACTGCACTCCAGCCTAGACGACAGAGTGAGACTCCAACTCAGAAAAAAACCAAAACTATTACAAGTATATAACAGAAATAAAACGTTTAAAATATATAATGAAACTATTACAAGTGTATAAACAGAAATAACCGTTTGCAAAAGACTAAAAAACACATATTGCCTCATTGAGATAAAAAATATTTTTAAAAAAAGATTATGAATGCCAAGTTCTAGTCATTTGTAACACTCATAGCCCTAACCAATTTTTTCACACCTTGCTTAAGGTTGGTCTTTCAGTCAGAACAAATTAAGTCACACTACCAAAGGAAACAACTCCCAAATATCATGGCTTCAGACAACAAAAGCTATTTCTTGCTAAGCCTGTGACCAATCAAGACGATACTCTCAGACCACTGTTGACTCAGCATTCCTGGTTGCTCTCGTTTTACATCACCTCTATATCATCATGTATTTCTGCAATTACCACGGGAGATGGAAAAAGCGCTAGAGGTTTGAACGTGGGCAATTACATGTGCTAGGCTGAAAGTGTTATGTATCAGTTCTGTCCACCAACCACTGGCCAGAACTAGTTATATGACCCTGCTCAACTGCAAGGGATACAAAGAAGTATAAACTTCCCATGTGCCCAGAAAGGGAAGAAAATTGGCATAGGTCAGGATCAGAAGTATCTACCACAGTTACAAACTTCTGTTTAAATTTCTGAGGTTATAAGCCTCCGTGTGGTTCTGGAACATGACAATCCTGAAGAAAAGGAGGAGGGTTTCTATACACCCATCTGCTTCATCTCAGAGATTGATCCCTTTTTCACCAAAGGCTCTAGCACAAGGCTGCAGCCCTCTCAAGAATCCTCTGCCTTTTCAGTGGCACTTGATCATTCAAGTACAAAGTGTGCCATCTGAGGGGGAAGACAGTCAGAGGCAACAGGACCAACCTCTTCACTTAGGAACACAGATGTAGTGAAATGATAACAGCTGTCTTGAGTATCTTCTGACAGGAGTTCATCTCTAGTATTGCACAGAATTAGCCAGGCAGCCTGGCACTGCTTTCTGGATTGCCCTTGGCTAGTTGGAGGTGCAGAACATTGACCATATATATTTACATAATTTGATATGGTCCTTAACTGCTATAGTCTGCCAGGATACCACAACGGATCTGACTCTTTCAACTTGGCTCTATCCTGTAGCGAACCCTCAAACTCTTCTAGGAGTGGATGGCCCAATCATTTCCCCAGACCAGGCTGGTACCTGGTCCAAAAAACCTTTTTCTAATCTTGGGCCAGCAAAAAGGGATTGAAAAACATTATAGGACTATAGACTTTATAATAAGTGTGAGGAATTTAAAAATTATTTTTTCTTTGTTACTTTTCTTCTTTCTCTATTAATAGCAAAAACAACTTCCTAAAATATTTTTACTTTAAAAGTTAGCACTGAGCTTGAAAATGGGATAGTGGTTTACTGCATTTACCTCTAATAGCAGCCTTTGATGCATCGCTTGAGTTTGAGTGAGTGCATCCCAGGACACCTTCAAGAGTAGCTCCATCTTTTTTAAATTTCGAAAATCTCGTTCTTTCTCTCTTTGCTTACGAGAAAGTTCATCATGGTAGTTCTGCTTGTCAATGAGACTGTTTCGTAAATTGAGATCTAAGATTCCTCTGTTCCAGGTAAAGGGAGAAAATGTAATTGATTTGTCATCAGTTATCTTACATGTTTTTCAAAACTTTTAAAGACAGTATGCTTAGTATACACATACAAGAAGAAATATTCTCATGTTCATAAATCGTAAATAATGCTAAAGGCAACTAGGTGTGTGAGTTTGTATCATTTTAGAGTTGCAGTCCTATAAACCCCCCAAATGTATAATAGATTGAAGAGAAAGAGATCTAGTTTCCCTGAAACCTTTCTTAAAAGCAGGAAGTAAAATTCTTCCAGGGAATCACAACGTGAAATTTCTCTCATTAGAAAAAAGTCAAGGTTACCTCAGATTACATTCATTTGTTAGTAAAATCCCTGACTATATATAGTTCACTCCAAAGATATAATTTCTCAGAGGCACATTCAGAAATTTACAATATAAGCAGATTTTGTCTTTAAAATTTGGTCACAGAGAATTGAAGAAAATGAGTAAAGAATGGGAAAAAAACACTGCAAATCAAATTAGTGGTCAAATTGATTTAAAATTCTGTAAAATATTTACTGAATCATCATAAAACTCTTTGAGATTATGTTTAGAATCCTCAAAAGTAAATTGAAGAAAAACTTAGAGGACAGAACATATATAAATAGAACCAACCTTTCAGCTAGTGAAGTTGCTTCATTCTCTTTGGTTAATTCCAATAGCTTGACCAGTTGGTTATATTCTCGTTCTTTGACTTCAAGTAAGGCTCGTTTACCTTCAACTTCCTTTATTACATCTTCCTTCTCTTCCATGATAGCACTAACTTTGGTTTCAATTTTCTTTAGGGAGTCATTTAGATTTTTGACTTCATGTTCTAAGACAACTTTTTTCTTTTCCATTTCTCTGTAGGGGACACATATACATACACGTTTGCCTTATTTTAAGCCTATGCTGGCTTTGCCTATTTATTCTTATTTCCTATCCAGGCAGCAGAAGAGCTACTCGTAAATTTCAAGCATCTCAGAAGTGAGTGAAGACCTCGGCTGAGTGGAACTTGGAGGGTATCTACACTGAGTTTCACTGAGGCAAGCATTTGCCCAGCCTCCCTGCTTTCTCCCCAGGTCCCAGTTGCTACCATGTCCTGAGATTTTACCCCCATCCTGACAAACCTCCTGGAACTGATCTGGGTTTGCCAACTTTGGTGCTGGTGAGCTGGTTTTTGGAGTCATTATTAGTACCTGCTTCATTTCTCCCTTTTCTTTTAAGGTCTGTCACCAGAGCAGTCATGTTGTTTTTTCCAGAATTTTTGTATCTTCACTTATCTTTATATATTTGGTTCCTCTACCAGGGGTCCTCAAACTTTTAAAACAGGTGGCCAGTTCACTGTCCCTCAGACCGTTGGAGGGGTGGACTATAGTTTAAAAAAAAAATAAAAGGAATTTGGTCATAGTTTTTATTTTTAAACTATAGTCTGCCCCTCCAACGGTCTCAGGGACAGTGAACTGGCCCCCTGTTTTAAAGGTTTGAGGACCTCTGGTATAGAACAATAAAAACTTATTGTAGATGATAATGCAAAATGATATAGCCATTTTGAAGATAGTTTGGAAATTTTTTCCAAAACTAAATTTATTTTTATCATAAGATCTAGCAATCATGCTGCTAAGTATTTACTCCAAATCAGTTGAAAATAAATGTCTACACAAATTGCCTTCATGTGAATGTTTACAATATTCATAATTACCAAACTTACTAAAACACACACACAAATGCATTAGAAGCTACCAAACTGTTTTCAATAGGTGAATGAGTAAATAAAATGCAGTGTATCCATAAAATCAAATATATTCCATGAAAAAATATACACAATTAAGTCACTAAAAGACACAGATGAATCTTAAATGCCATTGCTAATTGGAAGAAGTCAGTCCAAAATAGCTACATACTATATGATCGCAATGTATATAACAACCTGAACATTCTGGAAAAGGCAAAGCTAAATACAGACAGAACACAAGTCAGCTTTTTGAAAAGGTGAAACACAGGTTGGGGGGGGCTTTTTTTTTCCCCCTAGGAAGGTGAAACTATGATGTATGATACTGAAATGTTGAATAGTAAATATTAAGCTTTGTCAAAATCCATAGAACACTGCACTGAATCACCTTAATATATGCCCATTTTATTAAGCAACATTTAGGAGATCTACAGATTGAAGGATAAAATTTAGAAAACGA